TCCACGGCCATGTGTCAGATGCCAGCATCCGGGTTGGAGAGAATGTGTCAGATGTGGCTGCCTCCCGGCCACGCTGGAACATCCACGGCCATGTGTCAGATGCCAGCATCCGGGTTGGGGAGAACGTGTCAGATGTGGCTGCCTCCCGGCCACGTTGGAATATCCATGGGCATGTCTCAGACGCCAGCATCCAAATCGGGGAAACCGTGTCAGATGTGGCTTCTTCCTGGCCATGCTGGGATGCCCACACCACCCAGCCTACATTCCTAGAGCCTGAGTCCAACCCTCCCAGGCTGCCCTACAGCCGCCCTAGCCACAGGTCCCAGCCAGGCAGCCTGGAAATAGAGAGCCCTGCTCTGGAATGTGGGCCACCACTGCGCACAGAAGCAGAGCCTGCCACCAGATCCCCTGGAGCAGGCAGTTGGGAGGATGGTGGCGTCCAGGACTTGCCCTTTGCTGTGGCCAAGCCGGGTGCTCTGGGAGAGAGTGTCCTCCAGGAGCCAGGTGAGGCAGCTGCTGTGGGTTCCAGGGCCTGAGGGTGCAGTCTGTCAAGCTGCCCACACGCTCCTTGTTCTTGGGGTCTGCGATGCTGAGGGACATGGAGGCTGCTTGGGCCAGCCCCACGCTGTTGCCTCAGTGGCACTTGTCTGATGCCTTCCTACCTGTTTGTGTCTGCTCAGGCCCAGGGTGGAGCAGGGACACCGAGGACCTGTCACCACGCCGGCCTCTGGACTCGCAGGTCAGGGGGGGACACGGCCTGGGGATCACGTGGAGGGCCTGGGAGCAGAGCTAGGGAGCAGTCCTTTGAGGTCAGCTTCTACAGGAAGACACAGCTGCCCCAGGGTGTCCTGGCCCCGGTGAGGTGGAGGCGGAGGCAGACACAGAGGTGGAGGCCCGGCGCCAGGGTGAGGAGCAGGCCTACCTGGCTGGCCTGGCAAGGCTGTACCACCTGGAGCAGTACCCGGACAGCTACGAGGCCATGTGTGAGTACACAGCACAGCAGGCAGCGCCCTGGGCCAGTGCTTCCTGCGTCACAGTGAGTCTGTGTTGTCTCACAGCGGAGCCCCCCGTCGCCCAGCTCGTCCATCATGTACTGCCCCGGGCCTTCACCTTCCCCGTGGACCCCCAGGTCCAGCCGGCCGTGGGTGAGACTGCAGTGCAGCTGAGCGAGCTGCTGACACTGCCTGTGCTCATGAAGTGCTCCCTCACAGCCCCGCTGGCTGCCCAGTGAGTCCCCACCCACGCCCCCTCCCTGCCACTCCCAGGCCCCTGCCCACCTCTGACTCCGGGGCCCTCCTGCCAGTGTCTCCTTGGTAAATAAAGCTGCGGTGGACTACTTCTTTGTGGAGCTGCACCTGGAGTCACACTTCGAGGCGCTGCGGCACTTTCTGCTGATGGAGGATGGGGAGTTCGCACAGTCCCTTAGCGACCTGCTCTTTGAGAAGGTGACCCTGGCGGGGTGGGAACCATGGGAGGGGCCTGGCCCCTGGCCTGAGGCCCAAGGCCCACCCAGCAGAGCTGGGGCACAGGGTAGGTCTTGGGACACGTTTCTCCCCTGCCCAGCTTGGGGCCGGGCAGACTCCTGGGGAGTTGCTCAGCCCACTGGCCCTCAACTGCATCCTGAGCAAGGCCCTGCAGTGCAGCCTCCGTGGGGACTCGCCACATGCTGCTGGACTCTCCTTTGCCCTCAAGCACCTGCCTGAGGTCTTCGCCCCCAACACGCCAGACGTGCTGAGCTGCCTGGAGCTCAGGTACAAGGTCAGCAGCGCCACCCGGGGCTGGAGGGAGCCTGTGTGGGCAAGCACTGACAGGGCTTCCCGAGCAGGTGGACTGGCCGCTCAACATCATCATCACCGAGAGCTGCCTGAGCAAGTACGGTGCCATCTTCTCCTTCCTCCTGCAGCTGAAGCTCATGATGTGGACACTGAAGGACATCTGCTTCCACCTTAAGCGCACAGGTGAGGACACATGAAGCTCACCTGCCCACCTGGCCCTGTGGGCCTTCGCTGCCCCTCACTTGGGTCCCTGCCCTCTGCTCAGCCCTTGTGAGCCATGCGGCTGGCTCAGTGCAGTTCCGCCAGCTGCAGCTGTTCAAGCATGAGATGCAGCACTTTGTGAAGGTCACCCAGGGCTACATTGCCAACCAGATCCTGCATGTCAGTTGGTGCGAGTTCAGGGCCCGGCTGGCCACAGTAAGCAACCTGGAAGAGATCCAGCGTGCCCATGCTGAGTACCTACACAAGGCTGTCTTCAGGTGGGGTGCAGCCATGGGGGGTGTTGGGGTCCTGGGGGTGGAGGGTGGGGCAGCTCACTGTGCCCATGCCCACCTTAGGGGTCTGCTGACGGAGAAGGCAGCACCTGTTATGAACATCATCCATAGCATCTTCAGCCTGGTGCTCAAGTTTCGCAGCCAGCTCATCTCCCAGGCCTGGGGGCCAGCTACTGGCCCCCAGGGCACAGAGCACCCCAACTTCGCCCTCATGCAGCAGTCCTACAGCACCTTCAAGTACTACTCCCATTTCCTCTTCAAAGGTAATCCTCCCTTGAGGTGGGCAGGACGGTGGCCAGGCTGGGGCACATGCTGAACAGCCCTCTGCCCTCCAGTGGTGACCAAGCTGGTGAACCGAGGCTACCAGCCCCACCTGGAGGACTTCCTGCTGCGCATCAATTTCAACAGCTACTACCAGGATGCATGAGCAGTGCCCAGGGTTAGGGTGCATAGTGACCAGGGACAGGCTGAGGAAGCTGCTTTATTTGGGGAGCACGGAGAAAGAGGGGTGGCCTTGTGCCCTCTGTCACCTACAAGCACTTGGTGGGGCCTTAGTCCTTGTGGCTACTGGATCAGGGTAGCACTGCTGAGGTAGCATCGGACAGAAACAGGTCAGGTCCTGACTAGACGTCTCTGCCGTCATGAAGAGCGCGTGGGCGGCCGCAGTCTCAGCAGTGCATGTGGCCTCAGGAGACTCCTGGGGTGTGGAGGACCCCAGGCTGCTACGAGGATCATGTCACACAGAGCTCAGCTGCCCAGAGTGGGGGTTTGCTGCTGTAGGATGGCCGCCTGCTGGCTACTGTGGCAGCCCCATCAGGGCCTGTGGCCTTGGGGGCCTCAGCAAGCTCCCCCTCCTGGCAGTAAGGAGACTCCAGTAGCTTCAGCACCTGCCGGACCTAGGGGAGAGCAGGGTAAGGGGTGCTGGCTGGCTGCCCACCCTCTCCCTCCCAGGGGCAGGGACAGGTGTGCTTGCCTCTGAGAAGTCCCCGTTTTCAGCAGCCTCGATGGCATTCTGTGCAATGTAGTTCCGCAGGACATACTTGGGGTTGCTGGCATGCATCACACGTGTGCGCTCTGCTTGCCAGGTGGCAGTGTCACCAGCGTCTCCCCTGTCCTTGTCCAGCCGGGCTCTGGAGTCACCCCAGATCCCCCATCAGGCCCGGTGGCCATGTCCCTGGGGTGGTGCCCACGGCCCAGAACAACTCACCTGTAGTCTCGCAGCCAGGCAGCCCAGTGGGTGCTGTTGCGACTCTGTAGCTCCTCCGAGGTCAGGTGCTGCAGCTGAGACTGGTGGTCTACACGCTCCAGCTCCTTGGTGACGTTGGCCTGGGTGCCGATGAGCGCAAAGAGCTGTGGGTTGGACTGGGCCAGCATCAGCATCATGGAGAGCTGGCTGCAGGGAGGGTGGCAGTGTCAGCCAGGGCTCAGCTGGAGGGCAGTGGGATGCTGTCTGTGGCCTGCATCTGCACCCATATGCTGAGTGTTGGCCCCGTGCAGTCAGTCACTGCTCCCACTAAAGTCCTTTCTGCATTACCTACCTGTGGCTTCTTCATTGTCTCATGGCACATAGGGCAGCACATCCTGTGGGGGTGGGTGAGGGGCATGGGTGTTCTGGGGAGACCACCGGTTACTCACACGTGAGTGCCCCCGACCTTTCCTCTGACTAGTGTACCCATCAGTGCCCAGCAGGACCAAATGCCCCACCCCAAGAGGGCAGCTGCTGGACCCAAGGCACCTGTGTAGACCCCACCTGCCTGATGTCCCCTGGGTCCTTCACTTCCTGATGCTCCTCCCCTTCTAACAACAAACTCCAAGGAGGTGAGGCTGCTACGCACCGCGGGTCCATCTGGGGCCGAAAGGCGAGCCGCAGCTCTTCTAGGGAGGCACACTGTGAGGCCAGCACACTCAGGAACTCAGCCAGGCCTGGTGCCTCTGGCTCAGGTGGGAAGGAGCTCAGCAAGCAGAAGGTGTTGGTGAAGTCGGCCCCTGGAACATGGTTTGGTCAGCACCGAGGCAGGTGCCAGCCCCCTTCCCTTCACAGGTGCTGAGCCCACCTGCCAGCCATCAACACCCCCCCCCGCCCCCGTGACCCACAGGTCCACGCAGAGGTCTGGTCCATGCAGGCCCTGGCCCTGACCACCTGACAGGACAGTCAAATAGAGCCATGGCAACCCCTAAGGAAACACCTGAACAACAGACAAATGAAAAGGGGCTCCAAGCAGGATGCTGCCAAAAAATCAACTAAGCAAAAGCATCAGTGGAGAAAATGAGAGATTATACAAAGCGGGGAGACATATAGAAAACAGCAAAATGGCCTAAGTACTCCAAGCGAGTAATTTTTGTAACAGTGAATGGACCTCAGCAGTCAAAAGGCAGGTTGGCAGAATGGATAAAAAGACATGATCCTAGGGATTTAGCTCAGTGGTTTCACTGCCTGCTGCGCAAGCGCAAGGACCTGAGTTTGATCCTGGGTACAAAAAAAAAAAAAAAAAAAGACATGATCCTATGCCAGGAATGATGGTGCATGCTTGTAACCCCAGCACTTGGGAGGCTGAGGCAAGAGGACCATTGAGAATTCAATGGCAGCTTGAACTACACAGTGAGACCTTGTCTCAAAACAAGAAAAACTCCAACCCCAAAACAAAACCCATGATCCAGCCAGGTATGCTGACACATGCCTGTTATCCCAAGACTTAGAAGGCTGCAGGAAGAGGATCATGAGTTCAGGGCTATCCTGTGCTACTAGTGAGTTGAAGGTTGACCTGGAATACATAGCAAAGACTGTCTCAAAACAAACCATGATCCAACTCTACCATGTATAGGAGATTTGCTTTAAACAGTTTGTAAGTGAAAGGAAGGAACATTGAATGCAAACATTACATTCAATGTAATCTGGAGTTTACATTGGTAATATTAGTGCCAGTCAAGAATAAAAATAAAAAGGGCTGGGGTGTAGGTAGACTGCCTACCATATCCAAGTATGGGGAGAAAATGCAGAGACAAGAGTGTTATATAGTGATAATTCATTAAAAAAAGATGTAAACATAAGCCTGCACGCCTGGAATCCCAGCGCTCTAGGAGGCTGAGGCAGGTGGATCTCAAGTTTGAGCCTGGGCAACTTTGTAAGACTCTGGATTCCACATAAGGTGTTAGGATGTAGCTCAGTGCGTAGGTCCTGGGTTCAAACCCCACTATCGTGGGAAAATAAACATGAAATTTATGAACCAACATCACACATGAAACATACAGAACAGAAGGAGAGATTCAGTGAAGATTTGGAGTCCTTAATGTGCTACTTTTCAATAGTGGACAGAGCACTGAGATCAATATACAGGATCTGAAGAACAATCCAGCTGACTGGACCAGCTGGCCAGCAAGAACAGGACACAGCATTCTTGGTCCACACAGGGCATTTCTCTAGGGCACACTGGAGCAAGTTTAGTAATTTAAAAAGACTGGTATATTCTCCAGCCAAAATAGAATAAGGCTAGGAATTACTTAAAAATGTGTACACTTGATACCTGTGGTGGTGCATGCCCATAAATCTCAGCACTCAGAAGGCTGAGGCGGGAGGATCACTGAGTTTGAGGCCATCCTGTGCTACACAGTTAAAGACCAGACTAAACTATATAAGGAGATCCTGTCTTTGAAAAATAAAAGATCCCTCGTACTGCCCCCAAAAGAAAAAACAGTCCACAGAGTGAACTGGTTTCCACAGTGACAACACAGGCTGAGTGCATTGCGCACTCGCTTACCAGTCAGGTGCATGGTCTCTAGGAGCTTGGCTACCAGTGCACTGTCTTCCTCCTGTTCGCCCCGCACGAGGCCCAGCTTCCTACGCATCTTCTGCAGGTAGTGCTTCTGGAATTCAGTGTCAAACTCCTCGGCCACAATGGCCCTGCCCAGGACAAGGGGCAGCTCGGGCTCCAGCGCCTCAGCCAGCTTCTGCAGGTTCCACTTGCACACCTCAGGCTGCTTGCTGTATGTGTAGCGCCCAGCGTTGTCAGAGGCATTGCACACATGGTCAGGGTCATACCTGTTACAGGCCAAGGGACATGGTTCCGTCAGAGGACATGCCAAGGTTGGTTCCTGTGTGGCCACCATCCTGTTGTCCCATCCCTGCAGCTCCAGGCCAAGGGGTCTAGGTGGCTCTGATCTGTGAAGCAACCCTTTCTAAAATGCTAAAACAAGTTGAGTTGCACAGTCCTGAAATTGTAGCTACGTGGGAGGCTGAGGCAGGAGGATCACAAGTTCCAGACCAGCCTGTAACTCAGTGATTTAGCAAGACTCTGTTTTAAAATAAAAGGCTAGGGATACAGCTGGGTAGGACAGTGCTCCTGGGTTCAATCCCCTCCCCAGTACTACAGAATAGCTCACTGAAGTAAATAAAATGTTAAGACAGCTCATGGTGCTTTGCTCAAACCCTCAGGGCATTTCTGCTCCAGAAGGGGCTGACCTAGCACTTCTGAGAACTACACACTGAAGAAAGCATGGCAGCAGCTGTACTCACCCAGCCTGGGGCTTCTGCACCTCCCCCACTGCCCCTGTGAGCTCATGCTGCAGTGTCGGGCCACTCGCCTGTCCAGGAAGCCGAAGGGCCCATAGTCCATGGTAAGCCCCATGATGCTCATGTTGTCGGTGTTCAGCACACCATGGCAGAAGCCCACACACTGCCACTCAGCCACCATCCGGGCTGTGCGTCTCGTGACCTGGGGCAGGACAGGCACTGGTTGCTGCTCCCTTAGCACTCACACACATATATACCCTGGCCAGTGGCGTTACTCTGAGCCATTCTTCCCAGGGATGTTGTGGGCTTTGCCAGGGATCTCCCTGACAAAATCCCTCACAGGATTTGAGGAGTGAGGGTATTTGCCCTTGCTTCTGCATATACCCTAGAAAATCAGGCCATGGAGACCCAGGCCCAGGGGAAGACCTCATGAGAGCCTGCCTGAGTCCAGATTCTTTGCCTTGAACACAGCTGTCCCATTTCCATGCTGCCAGGTTGGCCACCAACCATGCTCCCCACCCAGCCCCAGCCAGACAGCTGCAGTGGCACATGGCACCAGTCACCCTGAGAATGAGGCCCCAGGTTGCAAGGTCTTACTGAGTACCCACAGGCCCCATGTGTACGACGCCATGTATGTACTGTCTGGAGTGGGCCAAGCAGGCCCCATATTCATCTCCTGGCTCCTATGGCCCATCCCATACCTACAGTGTGGGACACAGAGCAGCTGCTGCAGGATGGGGCCCCAGATGCCTGCTCAGTGCCCATGTCTGCTGACCAGCTTGGCTGCTACAGTCCAAGTGCCACATCACCAGTGGACTATGTCTGGCCCTGCTGTAGCTGCCTCATGGTCCACTTCCTCCTGGAAAAGGTCTTACCTATCCCAGCCCCTAGGCTCTTGAGGGTTACAGGCTCAAGCCAGGCCAGGTGAAGCCCAGGACTCCCATAGGCTGGATGTGATGGGACAGTACTACCAGGTCACATGCAAGCACTGCACTCTCTGGGTGAAGGCAGGGTCTGCCTGAGTCACTCTCAAATCCATCAGCACTGACTAGTACCACCGAGTGCTCTTACTCCAGCAGGTCCCTGGTGACAGCTTCACTGGCCCTGTGGGGACTGGCACAGCCCTCCTGCCGCTGCCTCCACCACCCCAACCAGGCTTCCCACATTTCAGTCTCCCTATTCATGAGGCCATGATGGTGATAGGCCCAGTGATGGCAGGGCTGCTGGGTATGAGCCTTTGCACACTACTCAGAACAGCCGTGGCCAGAAGCAGGCGGGCCAAGGGCTAGCCATAGGGGCCACATGGCCTCCACCCACCTCCCGGAAGAAGGCAGCATTCCTTGGCACACGGTCACTGTCGAAGGTGTGGGTAGCCTGGATTTCAGGGTAGAAAGAGCTGATCACATAATCGAGCAGCTGGACTCGGATGTCATTCCGCTCCACGCTGGGCCCTGCACGCCCTGTGTGCTCATCAGCCGGCTTAAAGATCTCAAAGGATCCAAACCTGGAGGGAAGACCCAGGTGTTGAACAAGTCAGATACACCCAGCCCCTCCAAAGACAAGGAGAGAAGGAAGCTTTTGGAGAACTTGCAGCCCATGGCAGGGCAGCACCCAGTTGGACAGGGACCATTGGCACACAGCTCGAGGGATGCCAGGGCTCAGAAATTGCCATAAGTGTTTATTTCCTGCACCTCAACTCTGTGGGGTGGGGGTGGGGATTCTGGCCGGGACTGGCATGGTTTTCAATGGCTTGCCAGGCATTTGGGGACACATTTGGTTGTCATAACTGGGGTTGCTACTGGCAACGAGTGGGCAAAGGCTAGTGACAGACATCATCCAAGGCACAGGACATCTTCACCCATTGTCACCAGCGCTGCATAGACAAGGGCAGCCCAGGGTGAGGTGGGTGTTGGCTCTGGGTCCTTCCAACACCCTAGTGGTCAGGAAAAGCCAAACACAGACACAGCCTGCCTCAGGTGTGGGCAGCTGGTGGTCATCCAGGGCCTGGCAGGACAGGTGAGCCACAGCCCAGCCCAGGTCTGGCCTCCTGACTACTCTGGGTCCAGGGAACCAGTTCTGAAAGAGTTGAATGTCAGATGGCAGAGACAGGAGTAGGCAGAAAGGACTGTGGATAAGAAGCCTGGACCACCCAGAAGGAGTACAGGCCGGGGGCACTGCCACACACTCGTGATGATGCCGCAGAGGCCACTTCCTGGCCACTGCTAGGTGGTTCTTTGTCATAAACTCGGCTGTGCGCTTTCCTGAGTCCCTCTGCATGGCAGTGCCTCCTAGGAAGCGGCCCAGGGTCCCGCCTGAGCTGCCCTGCCTGGCACTTCCAACTGTAACCAAGGAACAAACAGTGGCAGGAACCGACCAGGGTTCCTGGCACTGTCACCTTGTGCAACTGCTCTGTGGATTCCAGACTGCATTGACCCAAATCTCCCAGCCTCTGAGAGCAAGCACGTGTAGATAGGCCTCAAGTAACCCAGCATTACCTTATGAAAGTAGGAGCTATACGCAACACAACTGTGCACTTTTCATATTTTGGATTACCATCATAGAATACGTCTCGAATCACTGTGGACTTGGATGTGACGCAGGCCCCAGCCCGGGTGGTGGGGATCCCCAGGTGGAACATGGCCTCGCTGCACAGGAACTCGCGGATGCTCGACCTCAGGACTTTGCGACCATCGGCCTGTCTGAAGTTAAATATAGAGGTTACTGTGCCATCAGGCGGTTTCCCTCCCAAGGGAAGAAGTATCTTAACAGCTTTTTAAAAAGAAAAGTGTCCCCCCATCCTGAGTTGGGGACTGAACTGGAGCATGCTAGGTAAGTGCTACCACTGAGCTACAACCCCAGCCCTTTTTAATTTTTTCAGACAATCTTGCTAAGTCACTAAGTTGTCTGGGCTGAGCTTGAACTTGAACTTATCTTCCTGCCTCAGCCTTCCAGAATGGTGGGATAATAAGCACCTGAGATGCTGCCTCAAAATAAAAAGGTCTAGGGACCTCTCATGGGGGTAAGGAAGAACCAGCTTCTGAGAACGTGGCCTGAGATATGAGGATGGGGCCCAGTGGTCATGTCAGTGGCTGAAGGGAGAGGGGATGAAAGGCATGGATCTAGAATGAATAACCACAAGATGCCAACTTCCACACGTTTTGTTATTCAACAAGCATTTAAAGAGTATGGACACAGATAGGAAGTTAGTAGTGAACACTGCTGAGTAGCCAGGATGCAGGACTACAGATCTGGACCCAGGCCTGCCTTGGACAACAATGTGCCCTCCAGAGGCAGGGTTGGTCTTAAGAGCTACTGTCCCCTGATCCCCCAGGTGGCATTTGGAGGAAAGGGCTGGACAGCAGCCCTTCGCCCCCGGCACTGGCCTGGCGCCAGGGCTGGTTGCCTCAGTAAACACCAATGAGTGCCACTGTGGAACAGGCTCCAAAGTCCCCGGCGTGTTTACAGGGCAGAGCACAGCCAGCCAGTGGGAGATGCTTTCCCACTCTACACCAGTCAGTCGTGGTCCCTGGGAGGTTCCTATCCTTTGCGGCCACCGACCACCTCCCTGTCCAGCTCCTTCGCCCTCACAAGAGCTGTGCCCGCTCCGTGAGGCTTCAGGCTCCAAGCCACGAGGAAAGCGCCACGAGCGTCAAGGCTGGAGCCCCGCCCGCCCGAGTCCGCCTCCCCCGGCCCTACACACCTGGAGAAGGCCGTGGGGCCGGCGCCCTTGAGCTGCAGCTCCCAGCGCTCCCCCGTCGCCGTGCACACCTCGCCCAGGTACATGGCGGCGCCGTCGCCCAGCTGCCCGGCGAACTGACCAAACTGGTGGCCGCAGTAGCAGTGCGCGGCGGGCTCGGCGCCTGGCAGCAGCGCGTTGCCGCTGAAGAAGAGCGCGGCCTCGGCCTCGGCGTCCGCGTCAGGCTCAGGCAGCCCCAGCAGCGCCAGTGCGCGGCTCGACAGCGCCACAACGCGCGGCTCCCGCAGCGGGGTGGGGCGCGCGCGGCTGAAGCAGGCCCCGGGCACAGGCCGCGGCACGGACGGGGCGCCCTCTGGGCCGGGCGGCGGCGTCTCCACAGGCAGCGCGCGCAGGGCCTGGTTGTCGAAGCGCAACCCCGCCAGCCAGCGCGGCGCGGCCTCCATGGCGGCGGAGCGGGACGCGGGCGGTGGCCGGGCGCGGGCGGCCACCGGAGAGGCACGGAGCGTGGCCCTAACCAAGGCCATCCGCTCAGCCGGAAGCGTGGCCGCCCGGAGCGGAAGCCCCGCCGCGCCTGCGCGGACTGCGTCCCTGGAACCGTGGTTCTGATTGGCTGCCTCGATCTTGTCCGTAGTGACCCACAGGCTAAGGTCCGCGAAGCTGTGGCCTAGGTGACACGCGGAGGGACGTCCCCAAAGACCTCCGCGGCGCCCCCAAGTCGGGCCGGCAGTTCTGGACCCTGCACCGACAGAAGGGACTGAGGCTGAGGACTGCTGGGTCAGGGCTCCCGCGGCAGCGGCTGGACACTGAGGCCATACCTGTGGGTGTTGTCTCTGACCGTGACCCAGTAGGAGCTGGCCAGTTAAAACCTTCCCGGCACCACTCTGGGCCAGCAGGAGCCACGGGGCGAGAGCGGGCCTTCTAGGGGCCTGACTCCACACTGCAGGCCAGGACTTGGTCCCTGGTGCCTCCCTGGATACCTCGAGTCACCCTGTTCTGAAAAATAACCTGTCTGCTTGTTCTCCCACCTTCTATGTCTCTGTTACTGTTAGTCCTTGAGGGCAGCGACCTAGATGATGGAGTGCTGGTTCCCCCAGGACAGCACCCAGTGCCGAGAACCCTAGGGACACCCACATGCCCAGATACTCCTGGGGGGCCAGAACTTTGGGCAGGTGCTGCAGGATGAATGGGATGCCTTTGTGGTGCTGACCTGGTTCCAAAGTAAAATCTGGGATCCTGAGCTGACCCCAGGGACACTGGACAAACACACAGGCTCCCTCCTGGCTGTCACCTTTGTCCCAGCCCTCCTGTCATTCTATACAAGTAGCCCTCCAGAACTTCCTCCTGGAGCCACAGCATGGGTGTGAGACCCCCACGTGACCCAGCTCTGCCTCTGGGGCAGTGTGACCACAATGAGTCTCTCCCACCTCCCATGGGTGTGTGGATGGTACAAGTACTCAGGGCCTGTGAAGACCTCTCAGCACATGGCAGCACCATGCTGAGGAGCCCCCCCTCCCCCAAGCTGTCTGGGGTCCCCACCTCAACTGTGTTGGGGCGATGGCCTGTTTCCAGCAGCCTCCTTTGTAACTCCTGGGGGCCTGGAGTTCTCCCTGCCACGTCCCAGGCCTGGTGCTCCTGACCCATCTCCCCACCCTGGGTCCAGTCTGGCTTTGCCTCATCCATGCTCAGGAATCTGGCAGGACTGGGTTGTTGAGGGTCTGTGAATGCCAGGCTGGCCAGGCTCACAGCCTTGAACCCTGAGGGAGACCCAGTCAGCACAGAAGGGCAGTGGCCTCCCCAGCTCTGTGGCTCTGCCTATGGCTACACCAGAGTGGCTGAGCCTCCTCCGTGCCTGCAGGTGGCTAGTCCACCTTTCCTGTCCCACTGCGGGTCACAGCTGATGGCAGGCCTGAATGTTCACCTTGAGGAGTTCTACTGCCCAGGCAACCATGATAGCTGAGCCTGGATATGAGTGCCATCGTGGTCTCAGTCCAGTGCGCTGAAGGAGCCATCCTGGCTGTCAGTGGAGCCCCTGCATGGGGTCAGCAGGGGACTGACTCAGCAGCTCCTCTCCTTGTGGCCCCTGGCTTCCCAGAACAGAGCTGCCAGGGGTGCTTCACCATCCAGGACCCCAGCATCAGTCAGCACTTGGGGAGCAGCCACCCTTCCTGGAGTGGAGGCTTGGCAGAGGTACTAGGGTTGTTTGGGCCCATTTTCCCTACCCTACCTGCTCCTCTGATAGTCCCCCCACTCCCAGCCTGCATAAGCCTCTCATCAAAGTGGGGAGGTGACTGGGGAGCCCCAGCCATCCCAGGTGCTTTCTTGAGGTCCCTGAGTACTGGCCCAAGGCAGGGCCTCCTTGCTGACTTCAAAGCTGTCGTGGTGTCCCATGTCCCACAGGTCCACAGCCAGCTCGGTCTGAGACATCTGAGCCTCTGCAGTGGTTACCTGTGGACATGGGCACTCCAACTGTCACCTCCAGCCAGTCCCTGTTTCTGCATGTAGCCCTAGAGGCTCCTTTCCTGCCTGGTTTCCTGTTGGGACCAAAGCCACAGCCTCAGGACCAGACTGTAACCTGGGCCCTCAAGCCGTAGACCCTCCTCTCTCCTTGGTCTCCAAAGCTGGGTCTGTCCTACCAGGCCTGTCCTGCCCGTCTCGACTCTGAGTCACAGCTGTGTCACAGAGAGCCTGGCTGGGTGGGCAGTCAGGGGCTTTGGCCGACTCAGACAGGCACCCTCTCCAACACCCACATTCCCTTAGGTGCTTATTTGAAAAATGCACCTTATTGTGTTTCTGCTTACGAGAGTAATACAAATGAAGAAATTCAGATCTTTCAGGCCAAGGTGCAAATTCACATTTCCCCAAGCCCCAGCTGTCCACTGTGACATGTGTACTGTACTCTGCTCTAACATGTCCTGGGTATCTACCCCAGGCCTGAGTCCTCCTGGATTTATTTATTTAGCACTGTGGATTGACTCAGGATGTTGTATGTTAGGCAAATGCTCACCACTGAATTACATCCCCCTTTTGAGACAGGGTCTTGACTTGAACTTATGACCCTCCCACTCAGCCTCCTAGAGTGCTAGGACTGCAGGTGTGAATCACCATACCTAGTGCTCTTTCTTTTTTTTTTTTTTTTTGGTACCGGGGGGACCTTGTGCTTGCAAAGCAGGTGGCTGAACCACTGAACTAAATCCCCAGCCCTAGTGCTCTTTATTTCTAAACACCACTTGCCTCGACTGTGATGACTTCATCTATTCCCTTAGAGGTGGATGCGGTCTGTGAGCAGGGCTCTGCAAAGCTGTACCCTCGGGGGTGGAGCCCAGCCTCTGCCTCTTACTGACTTGAGCACTGGCACTTGGTTCTTCTCAGACTCTCCGGGGTGCTTACCTGCAGGGATGCTGGTGATGGTGGGCCTTGGGGTCACCCCCCTGACTCTGAGAACAGTTCTTCCCTGCCCAAGCCAGGAGACAGACAGCTCAATAGTTTCTCACGCTCACCCCCACAGCTGGTAGCCACCATTTCCCACGTCAGGCTGTGATTGCCTCTTCACCTTTGGAAGCAGCCGAGTCCCAGGCAGGGCTTTAACCTCTTGGTCCTCCCACTGCCCAACCCCACTCTGGGCCCACCGTGGGCCTTGCCTGCTGCACTCAGGGCCTGCTGTGCCCAGCAGTGGTCTGGGATGCCCTGCCTCTGGCCCTTCCTGTGTGGGCCCCGAATGTCCTGTTTCACAGACACCCTAACACGGACCCAGAAATGCTGGGCAGGGACCAGGCATGCCCTTGGGCACCAAGACGTCTTGCTGGGGTGATGGGCTGGAGGACACTAGGCTGGGAGACCAGTCAGGCTGGACAGGGCTGTCGAGGGGCCCAGCCTGCACCCACCTGCTCCTCCTCACTGTGCCCAGCCAGACCTGGGGTTCCAGCACCCAACCTGCGCCTGTAGAGAGAAGACCTGGTCAGGGCAGGCTTGAAAGCTCTGAAGCCCCAATCCCAACTGTTGGCCACTTAGCAGAGGACACTGCTGCACCAAGGTGACTCAAGCCATGGAGGACAGAGACCCAGCACTGAACACCCTTCCCAGACACAATGGGCATGAACCCACCCAGCACCCACCAGCAAAAGGGCCTTTTGCTCTTGCCCTCTACAGGTGCAGGTAGAGCTCAGCACTCTCCCTCAGCTATGCTCAGGTCACTCTGCTGGATAGGCCCTGGCCGGGTGTGCGTGGGCACCAACCAGGGGCAGGACCTCTGCTCTCTGCTGAGATGGGCACATTCCCCAGGACCCCCTAATTCACCTAAGCCCCATTTCCACAGAGCACACAAACAGGAGCTTCCAAAATTAGAATTTATTTGCATTTCTAAGGAACAAGTTCATGAGTATAAGACAGGGCTGCCCAGCGGCTTGGCAACCCGGCCCAGTTCTGTAGGGGTTCCCTGATTGGATTGACAGCACAGGGACAACTAGACACGGTGGGGCCAGGACACAGTGGCTGGGGCAGCGTGCTGGGCACAGGCCGCCAGGGACCCAAGGGAGGCAGCATCCTGTGGGGCTGCCTGGGCCTGCTCAGGACAGAGACAAACACAAGACTCTCCTGTTTCACTGGACTTAAGGCTTGTATTTCCTGACATTTGCTCCAGTTTGCTTTTTTTTTCTTTAAAGTTAAAATTACCTGAGTAAAAAATTTTCAGACATTTAAAAAAGCCGAAAACACAGAATCTCTGTAGGCGGAGATGCAGCATGTATGCTGCAGGTTCGTCCAGGGTGGCCACGGCTCCCCTGGCCCACAGTGAAGAGCTGTGTGGGCCCCGAGTGCTCCATGAGACCCTTGGGACCAGATGCTCAGGGCACACAAGGCACAGTGAGGTAGGGTGCAGCCAGGGCCCTGAGCCCACTGTGGGCAGGACCAGTGTGCACCGGAGGCCCTCCCCAGCCCACCGCTTGGCGGCCAGGCTCGCGCTGGTCCCTGAAGTCCCTGGGTATGGAGCAAGTGGGCTGCTGGGGAGCCTGAGCTCAGACAATTAAATAATCCCTTTATTGGGGTGGGCTGGGGGGTGGGCAGGCGAGGCTTGACCTGGACCCCCATAGGGGGTGGCTTGGATGCTCCCAGGAAGGTCCCCTGGCCACACCGGCTTCTCAGGAGCCCCCAGCTGCAGCGGGGAGTAGCTGTCCTGCACCAAGCCAAGCGGCCTTCTATGGGCCCGGCCGGGCTGCAGACGCCCTCTGGAGGCAGAACTGCGCCACAGGCAATGACAGCGCAAGGCTCACGGTGCGGCGGCCCATCCAGTACAGGCTGTAGCCCAGCAGCCCGAAGAAGGTGGCTTTCGCAGCCAGGCGGGACATTCGGCCCATGATGGATGGCGGGGGGACACTACGGAGGGAGGAATAGGCTGGGCCTGGCTGGGGCATGAGCCCCCCAGCCCCAGCCCCCAGTGTGTGGGTCCCTGGGGTCGGCTGCTAGGGTTAGGGTGGGAAGGCGGGGACCCCCACGTGGGCCAAGGGATGCTCACGTCATGATCTCCTGGATGTTGAGCTCTGTGCTCCAGTTCTTCTCGATGCCAGGCACGTGGCCCATTCCCACGACACCCACAACCACAGAGGGCACACACTTCCTGGGCTCAGCTGTGGGAATGGCAGAGGTCAGCGGTGCACTGCTGGAGCCGCGGTGTCCCAGAGAGCCCGCCACCATCACTGCCGACCCTCACCCTCAGAGGCTCGGGGCAGCTCGAGGCGCCGGGCAGCCTGCCGCAGCATGTAGGTCAGGTAGATGTCGCGCTCCGCCACGATGGTGCGGTGCAGGTCGGGGAACTCGCCGATCATCTCAGCCATCATCTGCTCCAGCAGATCCTTCTGCTTGCAGCGCTCCACATCGTCTTTGCTGTGGGCAGAGCCATGCTGCCAGCTCTGCGGGACGGGCCACTGGCCCAGGGGAGGCACCACAGCGCAGGGCTTGGGATTACGGGGTGGGGGGCGTGGGGGGCTTGGCTGGAGCAAGCAGGAGGTGGGGTTGGGGGTGCACATGGGCCAGGTGGTGCCCTACCTGATGGGGTCTGACAGGAAGCACAGGCCCCAGGCCAGCTTGACCTTCTGCCAGAAGGACAGTGCAGCGATGGCCCTCTTGAAGGTGACAGGGATGGGACGGTCGCCCAGGTGAAACTTGCAGAAAGGCACCTTGCTGGCCTGGAGGGGAGGCCATGTCGGGCACAGGCCTGCAGCTCCCGCCGCCCTCCCAGGCCAGGCCCTCACCGCCCCCGGGTCAGGCCAGGCGCCCACCTCCTTGAAGGCCTCCCTGAACTCGCCACCGGGGGCCATGCCCAGCTGCTCGGTGATGTGGGCTGACACCTTCAGCAGCAGCATCTGCATGAGCCCAGACATGAGCCCATTCTGTGGGAGAGAGGCTGCGTCACCCACGCCGCACACGCCTGGGGCAGGAGACTGGGCAGTGCCAGCCCCACATCCTCAGACTCCTCCCACAGCAGGCCTCACCCTGGCCTCCACAGCCACTGTTGCCACAGGTGTCCCCGTAGGAGAGCTTTCTCTATAGGACAGTCAGGGTGCTGAGCGGGGCACTCCACACTGTGCAGACATTGAGCCAGGGTGCTGACCCCAGGCAAACAGCCAGGGCTGTGTGCTGCCTGGGTCTTAGTGAGAAGTGCAGAATGAGGGTCTGCAGCCACGTGGTGGGGCTGGGTGGGTCAGGCCGTGCTGAGACCCCCCAACTCCAACCCAGTGGCCTGGCTGGCTCCTCCCTCAGTGAGACCTCACAGATCAGCCCTCTCTTCTCCTACAGGTTGAGGTCAGGGTTCCAACCAGGTGGAGCCCCTGACAGGCTTGGCACTGTGTACCGACCAGTGTGGTGGGCCTCAGCCCGGGCACAGCACACGGGGACTCCGGCCTTGCCCCGCGCCGAGCCCCTCGGGCACACACCTGCCGCACAGCTTGCTGCAGCTTCTCCAGGCTGACTTCCTTGGCCTCACGCAGCAGTGTCCTCTCGTCCATCTTCAGCATGGACACACGGTACTGGCAGAGCTCCACAACCACCACATCAGGCTGCACCTCACGGATGGTCTGCAAGGCACCATTGTTCCTGAGGGACTCACCTGCTGCCCTGTGACTGGCTGCTGATCACCCTCAATTCTTTAAGCAACGAAGGGAAGTGAGGAACAGGTTCTACAGTTACAAACAAGGCGCCACAGCTGCCACAGGATTGGAACGCAGCTGTCGGTGGCCGTGGACTGTGCAGCGGGGCCGGGCTGTGGCTCAGTGGGCCTCACCTTCACCACGTCGCGCTTGCTGTCGTCGCTGAAGTGGGCGGTGCCCACCACGTACACTCTGCTTCCATCCTCGGCCACCAGCTGGGTCACTGTGCGTGGCAGATTGGGCTGCTTACGCCGCCGCTTCAGCTTCATCTCCAGGAGCAGATGGAAGGCGTCCACGTCAGCTGCAGGGACAGTAGGGCTACCATGGGCAAACGTCTGGCTCTGGGCTCTGGGGGCTGTGGCTGGGGTCTGACTCCCACTGCACACGCCCTGATGGGCCGCCCCATCCATGTGCCTGGCCCCCGTGGGCCTCTGGAGCCCCAGGATGGGGGACAGCAGGGACCAGGTGCTCAACTCCAACCAGGGCAGTGGGGGCCCACTACCCTCATATCCCTCATGCTCAGGAGCCTCCTCCTGGGTTGCAGCACCCCCATTTGTGCCCAGAGGATCCCTCAAGCCCCACGCCCCACGGTTCCATTGGAGACGTACACAGGTTCTGGGCTTCTCCGGAAATCACCCTGGGCACCGACTCTGAGGCCCCCGATGTCATGACAGTTTCCACGTCAGCCTGGGGCACGAGGGAGAGGTGAGGCTGGCATCCCCTTGCCCTGGAGAGGCTGCTCATGAACTCCACCCGCCCAGATTAGGATTAGGACCCCCACCTTCCCCTTGGAGTGGCTTCCTGCTGGGATGCAGAAAACCTGGTCTCCACAGCAAGTTCCTGGCAGAGAATGAGCCGAAGGGACCCGAGCGGGCCACGGGGTAGACGGTGTCCCCACGGGAAGGCTTGGCAGCCAGCGCCCTCACCTCCTGGGGTGGCCGCTCCTCCCCCTCCATGGCTGGGTGGCAGCTTCCAAGTGGATGGAGGACGCCTAGGAAATAGGGCTCAGTCCTCACAGGGCTGGGAGCAGGCACCCTGAACGACCCTTACGCTCCCTGCACTGACTCTGCCAGAGGAGGCTGCTGCGGTCCAGGTCTGGGAGAGGCCTGGTTTGGAAACCCACAGCCACTGTGAGCAACGCCATGGGCAGGCAGCACCCGACCCGCACCCCAGGGTGTGCGAGCCCAAGGCCTCTGAGCAGAAGCCCTCCAACCCAGCCAGATGGAGGGGTCCTGGGAAGGGCGGACAGGGTGGCACCCCTGGGCGCCAGGGCTTGCTCCAGCTTGAGAAAGAAATGTAAGGCAGAGGAAGGCCAAGGTGGCCCTGCAGAGGGCCAGCTCACAGTCAGGGCTTCTTGCTGTGTCCTCACAAAGGACTTGCAGCTCTGGGGACAATTCCCAGCCCTGGAGTACTGCGTATCCAGTGAGGGATGAAGGTCATGCCGACTGAAGGGGGACAAATAGCCTCCAGCAGACCCATGCCTGAGGCAGCTGAGGCTCTGGTGGGGACCAGGGTCCCACTGAGCCCAGAGGCATCCCATGCTTCCTGACAGATGCCACCTGACAGAGGTACTGGACAACCCAACTGCAAGCCGTGAGCCACAGGAGCTCAGCAGGCAATGGAAGGGGCTGTAGAACCCAACCAAGACTCTTTCCTTAACTGAGGCTCGTGGTGCCAGCTTGTGAGCCAAGGGCAATGCACAGCTGAGTTTGGGGCCCAACCTGAGAAATCTGCTATTGGACCTGGGTACTGGATGGTGTAACGTTAGGGAACTAAAATACCCCAATTTGCTTCCAGCCATATCTAGGCAGCACGGCATGTTCTGAGGGTCTGTGTGCATCTGAGCTGTGCACCAAGGGAACCCTCATGGGGCAACCATGACCCCATGGTGCTGGCAGGGAGCCTTGGGCTCCCTTCCATCTCATCACTGCAGCACACATCTCAGAACTTTCATGAGCCAGAGAAAATGGAGAGTGCAAGAGGGTGCGCTGTCTCAAGCTTCTCTCCCCTCCTCGCCATATCCTGTGGCCCTGCCATACACACAGCCCTAGGCCCTCCACGGTGTCTGTCGGGATGGTGATGACCACTTCCAGCTGCCACAGAAAAGGAAGGAACTCAGTGCAACTTCTGGGCTGACAGCATCTCTCTGGGCATAAGCATGTGGTTGATATGGCACCCAGGGCACAAATGTCCCTGAGGCCGACTGAGAAGGGGAAGGCCGTCCTGAGCCTAGCCGGGGCCCTCTGGCAGAGGAAGTGGTGTGGGCAGGGAGGAGCAGGGTCAGGGCCAGGAAGCAACCGGGCTGCAGGGTGCAGGGAGGTCAGCAGAAACCAAGAAGAGCAGCAATCAGACCCTGACTGGGCCTCTGAACTCAGTCCTCAGGGCCCTGCCCCACAGGCACAGCCTGCCCCACTGCTTTCCCCCTGGGCTTCCGGGTCTGGAGCCTGCCCTACCCAGGCATCATAAAGGCCAATGCATTTGCAAAGCGCCACTGCTGGCTCCAGGTCTGGGCACAGCCAGGTCTCTGCCAAAGCCCATAGACATCAGCTCCTTCGGGCCTTTCTTTCTACAGATGAAGCCAGCCGACACAAATGGGGAGGTGTGCTGGGAGGGAAGGCTGAGTGCCTACAGGCCCTCCTCCTTCATGAACCCGGAAGGCAGAGGACAGTCAGGGCCAGGGTCCACCCCGCAGGCCCACAACTGAAGCCTGACATGGAATGGGAGACAATCTTCCTTAGTCCAGCTTCACACATGAAAGCAAACAACTCTTATGGATGAGCAGCACAAGGCTGCCAAAGCAGGAGCGAAAAACCCCAAACAAACAAACAAAAAAACCTTCTTAAAAAAACATCCTGTGCAGGAGGCGGGCGGGAGGTTGTGGCACTGCCAGCGAATGGGAGGAGACCACGTTGCCTCAGCCTGCCCCTGCCCTCCCACAGGCGCCTAGCTGCACGTCTGTGGTCAGCCAGGCCAACCCACCCTCTGCAGCTTGCCCAGGGTGTGCCTGGGCCTGAGGAGGCCAGGCAAGGGCTCCGAGTCTGCCATAGAGAGGCTCAGGCAGCAGAAACAGTCCTGTGTCTGGGTGCCATGGGGTTAAGGAAACAGGAGAAGCCTGTTGAGCCAGGAGCCCAGGCTTAAACCCCACATGGGCAGGCCATCCAAAAGCAGTGGGAGACCCTGCAGAGTTCCCCAGCATCTTACCAAGGGCAGCGCCTGATGGGGAGGAAGGGAGGCAGGAAAGCCACTAAAGTCCCCACCACCAGAGCCTGTGATTCTGAGTCTCTGATGCTGTCACAGTGTGTACTTTCCTCTGGGACTTATTCCGCAGGTTGCTAATCCTTCCTTCACTGCATGATATTTCCATCTGGAGACCTGAGCCCACCCTCCACCTCCCCACACCCACCTGGGTGTCCAGCCTAGTCCTGTGCTCCCCCACCTGTCCTTTCCTGACAGGCTCAAGCCCTTGGCACAGACCAGCAGACCCCTTGCTGCCCTTGCTGCTGCCCTCGAGGGAAACAAATCCCAGCAGCTGGTAGGCAGCTCCTGGCTTCATCCCCAGTCCTGACCCCAGCCACACAGTGAGGCACACTTCGATGTCTGTCAGATCAGCCCCTAATCTGCTCTCCCTGCTGAGCAGGACTGGGGCAGGTGCTGAACACCACAGTGGTAGCTGCTTCCCTCCAAGGCCTGCTGGCAACCTAAAGAAACCCCTGCTGGCTGGGGCTCAGTTTATAGCAGGGCTTCCACAGCCTCAGTCCTCTATGGATTCCCAGTAGCTTGTCACTCGGTCTGAGTACTGCAGGATGGCTTAGCATGGAGGTGACTGTCCACACATGAAACAGGGCATCGGCCACAGCTAACCCTGGCCACATGGCCCCTGCCCAGCCTCAGCAGCATCCCCTCTGCTAGTTCCCTTATAGGAACTGAACTGTGCCCCCCCAAATTAGACTCTGAAGCCCTAACTCCAGCGCGGTATATTCATAAGGAAAGACTGACCCCATGATGGTATTCCTGCCCAGATAAGCGGAGAGCCCAGACAGCTCTGTGGGGAGAGGAAAGAAGGGTCTTTCCAGGAGGCAGGCAGAGCCCTCCCCAGCATCAGCCCACCAGCACCTGGATCCTGGACTTGCACCCTTCAGCACTGTGGAAGTCAATGTCTGTCCTTGAACTTCCCAGTCTGTGACAGCTGACACCACACGGGGCTGAGACGCCCATCGCCCCCGGTCCTTCTAAAAGTTGCCTCCCAGGCCAGTGCGGCTCTTCAGCGTGGCCCAAAGTGCCCGGCACCCAAAGGCGTCCCCAGAAGCCCTCATCGCTCGCAAGGAGAGCCTTGGGTGACCAAGAGTGAGGAAAGGGTGGCCGAGGCCCCAGACTCCTCTCCGAGTCTGCAGCTCGGGTCCCGGGGGCGCACTGCCGGGGGAGGGGCACCGAGACGGAGGACAGGAGTGCCCGGCCGGACCACACCGCCCCTCCCGGCTTCCGTCGTGGGGCCCGCGGGCGGCCACGCCTGGGAGATGCGGCCGCGCCCCGGCGGCCTGAGCCCCTTGGCCCCGGGACACGGAAGCCCGCGCCCCCGGGCTCCGCCCCGCCCTGGGACGTTGACAGCGCGCGCTGGCGCGTCTCGGTCCACAGCCGCCGCCTCGCCAGCCCCCGCCCAGCCGCCCGGCTGCCGCCCTCCAGCCCGGAATACCAGCGGCGCGGTCGCTCCGGTCTCGGCTTCAGCCGGCCTCCATGCGCGCGTCCCGGACGGGCCGGGGGCGGGGCGGCCGCGCGGCATTCCGGGAGACTCCCAAGGGCCCGCGCGTGCCCGCCAGCCTGCCTCTGCGACCCCGGGTCCTAGCGCCGGGGCCGGCTCCTCGGGCCGCGGGCTGGTTTTGGCGGGGGACAAAGGAACCAAAGCGCTCTGCTCCCCATCCGTGGGACGTAAAAGGGCGGAAACACAGGATGGCGGGTCCGCCCGCGTGGGCCCCGCTTGACCCCCGAGGCAGGGTCGGGATGGGGACAGGGGCGCCGACCCGGCCGGACTCGGGGTGCTCAGGACCCGCCTCGCTGAGCCCCCGGGCTTCCGTGACCCCGCAGAACCACGTTCCACCTCCCCGTCGGGGTGGCCTCCTTCTTTGACCGGGCGTGGGGGATAGTCCCTCTCCCCGCTGCACCTGCCAGCCGGCTCCCCACCGAAGCGCCTTCCCTCACAGCTTCCGGTCCCCTCTGTGTTCTCTGCCTCCCCCGGAGGGAAGGACCCTGCCCCTGGCCCCAGGCCTCAGATCCCTGCCCTCCCTGCCCACTCCTTGCTCGCAGTGTCCACCCTCTCTCTGGTCGGTTCTGCCCTTCTGGCCATGTTCCCACCGGCAGCAGGTGGGGTGGGTCTGGAGTAGGGTCACCAGCTTCCCCCCACTCAGGGCCACCCCAGACCACCTCCCTAACTGGGTGGAATCCCAGCGCCGGGCTCTGTTCTGGCTGACTGGGTCTCCTAGGGCCACCTCTTCCCTGAGAGGTGCCCACTAGTCCTGCCTGTCTCTGCCTGGGCCCAGAGGGAAGGAGCCTTGGTCTGCTGGGGCCGTGTGCATGGGCTGTGCTGGGCTGCGGGGGCCAGGAGTGGAGAGAGGAGAGGTAGAGTCTTGGGAGTGCTCAGCCAGGCTGGCAGGGAAACTGGGGCGGATCTTCACTTGGCAGGACGTGGGCCTCCCCCACCTCAGGCTGCACAGCTCCAGTGGCTTTTCTCAGCTGTCCCAAGCACACTCTGGTTTGGGGCAGGTTCTGTTCTGCCACTGTGGGTGGGCAAGATGGACAGGAAGGCCTGAGGGTATGAGCCCAGGGCAAGGGTGGGGTACTAGCCAAGCAGAGGAGGCCTTCTTAAGGTGGGCTTGGGGCAGTGAGGAGACACTAGGGGGAGCCAGGCGGACAAAGGGTTTGGGGCTCAGCCCCACCTGGTCAAGGGGCCAGCACCACCTTTTTTGGGGCAGTACTGGGGATAGAATCTAGGCCTTCCCACTCAGCTACATCCCCAGCTTTTTATTGTTTTGAGACTGTGACTTTGACTTGCTAAATCACTGAATTCCCCAAGCTGGGCTCAAGCCTGTAACCCTTCTGCCTCAGCTTCCTAGAGTGCTGGGATTGCAGGTGTGTGCCACTCCATACTTCCTTTCAGGCCTCTGGCCACCTGCTTTTGGAAAGGTGGAGTAATTCACAGGGCCATGAGGCCAGGGCTCAGGTCCCCAGCCCCTGCAGTGATGTCTGCTTCTTCAAGACCAGAATGCTGACGCCAGTCTAGACTCCTTACAAAGGTCAGCTCTGTGCAGAAAGGGCTGTGTTCACTCACACCACAGATTTCCCAGACAGGAAAGTGACTGACATGTCCGGCCAGGCCACATAGAGAAAGGTGGGTAGAGTCCTTGGCCTTGAGCCCACTAAGGACTTCAAGGGGGCTCCCTGGACCCAGGGCTCTGTGTCCACCTCTGCCCAGTTCCACCTGTCTTCACAACAGGAAGCAGGGCCCACAGGGAGAGTGAAAGAGCCCAACCTGGGCACTGCCTGGACCAGCAGGTTCCTTGACCACAGACACCTTCCCAGAGCGAGCCCCTGGGGTGGACAGGCTAAACCCAGGCAGGGGGACAGGCAGGGTGGATGTGGGAGGCTGCAGAAGGCGAGGGCAACCTCACTTGGGTTTCCCACTGTGTGTGTGGGGTTGGTGTGTGGGTGTGGGCCGAGGGGCAGGGGCTTGTCATGAGCCTGGAGAGCACATGGCCAGGTTTCCCGGTTCCTGAAGGTGCCTGTGGTCCCTTCGCTGGAGGAGTGGGTGCCAGGCTTGGAGAATCTTCCTGTCTCAGCTAGGGGGGAGCTTTCTGACTCCGGGTGCTCATGATCCACCAACAGGGTGTGTTCACCACATCTTTTATTTTCTGCATTTCTGAGGCTATGACACTGGGGTCATGCTGACCCTGGGCAGCCTCCCTCTCGGGGCTAGCAATGACAATGTATGTGAACCACCAGGTCACAGCCCACACCCCATCAACTCTCACACCCTGGGCCACTGTCCACCTGCCTAGCCACTGCAGAACCAGGCAGGCAACCAGGGACACCCATACACTTGCTGAGGTTCTGTAAACCAGCGAAGGCTGAGCCCCTGACCTGCCTGCCCTGTTCTTCCTGGGGAGCCACAGTGGAGCTGTCTGCCCACATCGCTCCTCTTCCCTCTGCCTGTCCTTCCCTGTGTGCCCCGTGTGGCATGGGGCACCCCCTCCATAGGATCTGTGAGCAGTCACCTGTGTGTCCTGTGGCAGGCATCTTCTGCTGTACTGTGCTCACCATACTGGACAGTAACAAAGCATTTTAGAGTTCATAGTAAAACCTACATTTTAAATGAACATGTCTCCTGCCCAGGCTGGACTGTGGTAGCTGCACCTTGGCCACTCTGGTGAGGGATAGACTATCCTGATCCCAGGGACACTAGGGAGCCCTGTCCACCCAGGTCTGTTCCAGCAAGGGGCTGCTGGGGAGTTTCCGCGAGGTCCAGGCCAGGTAGCAGGAGGGCCCACTTTGACCTCAGCTGACCGCACTCCATGGGGTGTGGGCCCGGATCCTCAGGCCCTGCCTCCAAGGACCCTCCATCTGGGTGTGGGGGGTCGCCTGCTCTGACCTGCAGGACACAAGGCTTCACAGGGCCAGCCTTGTCCCACTGAGCCCTGGGTCTAAGGTTGAAGGCCCGGCCCTATTCGTGGGCCCCCACCATGATGAACACCCCCGAGATGAGCACTGCCAAGGCACTTACTTGGGAAGTCTTCCTGGACCCTGCCAGCTCAGCACACCTGGCAGGACACCTAGCCTGCCTCCCATGCCCACATGCCTGACCCAAGAGACACGTCTCCCTGAGCCTGGGTGGGGGTTGCTCCTTTGTCTCCCTGTGCCCGGGTCCAGGCTCCAGCCGCATCCCTCCGGAAGCCACATGCTATCCTGCCTTCCTCACACTTTGGGGTGGAGGCTCAACACCCCTGCATCCTGGCGGGCAGCCCTGGCAAGCTGAGAAAATCAGGGGCCGCTCTGGAAGTCAGAGGGGAGGCGCGGAGCAGGGAGCGTAGCGTAGCGTGGCGTGGCAGGACCAGCAGTTATCAGAATAACATTTATTGATATGCTCAGTGCTACCTCGTTAATACTGTGTCTCGGGCCGCTGTGGCTGAGGTAATAGGGGCGGGGCCAGCAGCGGCCTGGGCCCGGGAGGGGCGTGGTTATTGCGTTGGGCTCCTTGCCTCTCTGGAGCACTGGCGCCCACCTGCCGTCACCTGCTGGCTCACACATACGTGGCGCCCCTGCACATGCAGCCCAGTCCACACATGCGCACACTCAAGCTCTTTAGCACCCACACCTGCTCACGAATGCTGGCGTAGTGGCACTGGGCCGCCCCCACGCACACCTGAGTTCACTCTTGCACTTGTATGCTCACACCCATTCACACACATCCCTTGCTTTAAACTCACCCTAAGTCTCCCAATGGTAAATATGCTTGTCAGTTACAGTAATCATAGTAAAATAAAGTGTATGTCAGGCTACAGGGAGAAAGTGCAAGGCGATTTGGATCTAGGGCCACCCCTGCCCCCACTGGAGGGCATCGGTCCCTGCAGGGGTGGGGCCCTTCTGTGAGGGACCCCTGGGGCCTGGCCCTGTGGCCAGTGCCATCTTCCCCGGTGTCCTTCTCTCTGGCCCTGGGCTGGGGCCCCCTGGGGCGGTGAGCTGCCCCGCCACTTGGCCCACAACAAAACTTGCTAAAAAAATAAACTCTTCGTCTTGCAGCCCAGCACCTAGCACAGCACCTGCATCAGGGTGGGTGGCACCTTGCTCTGCCCTGCCCCGGCTCCCTCACATGGGTGCCTCGTTGAGCCAGGTGGAAGGGTGCTGAGCCCCGGCATGCGGGCAGAGGCTGGGATGGCAGTGCCAGGCAGGCAGAGACTGTGTCCATGAGCTCATGCAGGGGTCCTGGCGGCCCATCCCTCAGAACTCCACGGTACTCACGACTGTTCTGGGCTCCTCAAAAGTGGCGATGAGGATCTGCTGGGCTGGGGGGATGGTGATGAGGTCACCCATGTCTGGAGGCACCCGGGGGGCCCCCTCTTCCTCCTCCCGGGCCTCATACAGTGTGTTGATGTGGAGCAGAGGGTGGGTGGCATTTCGGCTCAGGATGGCCAGGGGATCGGCCTTGCCCAGGCTGGCTGGTGACAGAGGTGCCACGGTGGGAGGTGCAGGAGGCGAGCAGACATGAAACGGGCCCCCAGCAGGAAGCCCGGGCCTGGCCGGTTCTGTGGGGTACGGGGCCTCCTTCTCAGGGAGTGGGGCATCTGTGAACAGTAGAACACAGGCGTTGCAGGCTCTGACCCCCTCCCCGCCGGGGGCCAGTCCCTGTGTCCCTGCTGGGCCTGCTTGTCCTCCCTTCCTGCAGCCAGGCAGCTGGGCAGCTGCAACATGGGGTGACCATAGCTGCCCGGGCCAGCACCATGCTCTGCCCACCTTCTGGGTAGACGCCACAGCTCGCAGAAGCTGCTCAGCCTTCCTCCTCCTCACACTGCCTCCTGGCCCCCTAATACATTAGGTATGCACCCCATGCACCCTGTTCCCAGGTGATGACTTCTCTCCTGCCCCCCACTTACCCCCCACTGGCTCCCTACCTTTGGTGGGTGCTGTGGCCAGGCCCAGCCCGCACTCTTCAGCCTGCGACAGGAAGCCGCCTTCTTGGCTGCGGGAGGCGGGCAGGGCAGTGGGCACTGTCTCGGGCTTGGCTTTCCTGGCACCCAGGATGTAGGGGTGCACATCCAGGGAGAAGTGGCGCGCATGCTTCTTGTCGGGGGCGGTGGCAGTGCCTGTGTCACCCCCGCTGCCCTTGTAGTGGTGTGCTGCACGGGCGCCTGCGTCCAGCAGTGGGGCAATTAGCGTGTCAGTGGCTGTCTTCCTGCGCACGGGCTTGGGCTTCTCGGCCTTGCTGTTCTCCACACGCATGATGGCCAGTTGCTCCTTGAAGGGCTGCGGTAGCGGGTTGCTGGTGGGGATCCACTTCATCTTCTTGCGTGGCCGTTTGACCACAGGTGGCTCAGTGGAGCCGTCGGGCTCTGCAGGGTTGGCGCTGGGGTCCACAGTCTGGATGCCCGAGTCACGCACGGTGGGAGTGGCATCGTGGTTGGACTGGGCCAGCGCAGCCAACAGCTGGCGCACCACATTGTCATACATGAGGTCACTCTCATTAGTGATGAAATCCAGCCGGTTGAGCGACTTGATGTGGTCGCGGTTCTCGTTGCAGAACATGGCGAGGATGTTAATGTCACAGAACTGGGAGCGGCGCCACTGCCGGCGTGTCTTGATGCCCACCTTATGCAGTTTGTCAAAGATGAAGTTGCTCTTGCGGAAGATGAAGAGGTGAATGAGGTTGACGAGGATGATGAGGTTCATAAAGCACAGCAGCACGATGTCCACACCTGCGATGATCCGCTGCAGCTGCACGGAGGGCAGCTTGCAGCTGACGTGCACTGCAGGGCCCCCACCTGCTGGGCCATCAGGGGAGGCGCCCAGTGCACAGGTGAACTCATTCTGCTTCTGCGTGGCGTAGTAGGTGCACAGGTAGGAGATGGGCACCACGCTGAGCAGCAGGATGAGCACATGCCGTGCCAGGTACAGCTTGGCCAGGAAGTTGCTGCGGCCCCGGCGCTCCAGGTACTTCTCAAACAAGTTCTGCTCGGGGCTTTTCTCTTTCTCAGCATTCTCAATGATTTCTCGCTTCTCCCGCTCCGTGATGCCGGGCCCCTTGGACTGGATCTGCTTCTCGATCTTGGGTGCACGGCCCTCAGCTGCCCGGTGGTAGCAGTTATCAATCTCCTGCAGTAGGAAGTTGAGCTCGGAGGTGAGGCGGGTGGAGGCCAGGAACTCCCACCCCAGCGCAGGCACATACATGATGGCAGCGAAGGCCAGCAGTGCATACGGCAGGAACTTGTGCTCAAACAGTGACGGCCACAGGCTGGCATCCACACCGGGCAACGCATCCCGAAGCTCCGTCCAGCAGTAGCCACGGGCATACAGTGCCTGGTCGCGGGTGAAGTTGTGCGGGGTGTAACAGTAAATAGGTTCCTCTGGGGGCGAGAGGAGACACAGGCCACGGCATGAGGTGGGACTGACTTGCGAGACCAGGGCTTGGGGTGGTGGCACCGGTGGGGTCTGTCACTACCTTGCCTGAATGCCTCTCCTGCGCGGCCCCCTCCCACTCAGCTGCCTGCTCTGTGCAGGGCCTGCGCCCCCCAGAGCCAACTCCTGGGCCAACTTCCCCTCTCCACATCCCACCGTGATGGTGTGATCACCCTCAGTGTCCCTCTTGAGCAGTCCTGCCTGTTCCAGTACCCAAATGCCATAAAGACTCTGCACAAGGGGAAACTGAATCCCAGAGAAGGACAAGACAGATCATATCCCTTTTTCCATTCCCTCAACTGGACTCAAACCAGGTCTTGGCCACTCCTGTGTTCTGGCTGTCGGGCACCTATCACTGGGTAGGGCTGGTGGCAAGGATGCACCTACCTGGTACAGCAGTCCAAGTGTCAAGAGAAGCCTGCCTGTGAGCCAGGTGTGGTGGTGCATGCCTGTAACCCCAGCACTCTGAGAGGCTGAGACAGGAGGATTCCAAGTTCAAGCTCAGCCGGGGCAACTTAGCAAGACCCTGCCTCAAAACAAAAACGGGCTGGGGAAGTAGCTCAGTGGTAAAGTGGCCCTGGGTTTGACCTCTGGTATCTCAAAAAAAAAAAAGAAAGCCTGTCTGTGACAGATGAGAGGTATCCCCTCCCCCAAGACACCCACCCCGGACAGGCAGCCTGGGAACACAGGTCCGTGGTGGCAGAGTCGGGAAGGCTTACCAGCTGGACATGGCCTCTGCCCCAAAAGTGAGCAGAAGGGCCTCCTCAATCGCAGATACAGCCACCACTCAGGTCTGGGCTGTTCGAGGCCATGCTGGGCTGGGCACAGGAAGTAAGGGCCTCCCTGTCTGCACTTGGCCTTGTGAGCTGGGTAGCTGGCAGGGAAGAGCACGATTCACTGCTGCTGCTGCACAGGGGCCAGGGCTGTGACAGTGGCCAGCCACGCATCTGAGCAGAGACTCCACGGCCCCTAAGTGCTTCCAGGCCTAGCCCCAGCATCCTGGGACCCCAGCTCCTTACTGGGCACAGCACAGGGCTATGGACTGCACTTGGCCCACCCCAGTACCTCTGACAGTCTAGACAGCTCCACACACTGAGGGCACAAGGGCTCAGGAGACCTCAGAGATCACCAGGATGGGACCCGGCCAGGTAGACTTCACTGCACCGTACCTGGGAATCATGGGGGGCTCCAGAGGAGGTGTGGATTGGTGAAAGGAGCTGCAAATGGGCCAGGGGCTGGAGAGAGGCTGGGAGTGTCAGGGAGAGCTGGTTCCTAAGGCCTGAGGTCCTTGAGGGCCTCAGGATGAGCTGGGCTCAGAAAGGGCCAAAGCTCCCGGGTGAAAGGCAGCACGTAGCCACTTGCTTTTGTCCCGACAGCCAGCCCTGAGAGCCATGGGTGCGGACGCTCTTCTCCGTGTTTGTCTCCACTGCCTCTCAGGCCTCAACCTAGCTGCCGCTGATCGGTATGGACAGGCCCCAAGAGGGACCCCCAGCCAGGCTCCCATGAGTCCTTGGCTCTGGGGTGGGGCTTGCCTGTTGCCCCAGGCTGGACAGGAGTGGCCCCACATGCTGAAGTGTGCTGCCTCTGTGGTGTGATGTGAGTCACCTGCCACCACCTCCCTGTCTCCCATGTGCCACCCTGACCCTTGGTTTCCTCATCTGCTGATAGCATTCTGCAGGGCCGCTGTATGGAGAGGCCTGGCCCCAAGGGCCCTGTGAGCATGTCCAGCAGGGTGGCCCTTCTTCTGCACATGGTACTCCCAATGGCATGGCAGGGACCGAAGGACACGGTGACATGCAAGTGACCAGGCTGCCGGCCTGTGGTTCTGGGTCTGATACTGGTGGGATAGCAGGGATGTGGGGACTGGAGGCCTGGACACCACAGCTGCAAGGGTCCCCTGTCTGGGCCAGTTCAGGTGTCTGACAGAGACAAAGACAGAGACTGGCTGGTCCTGTACCCAGTCTTTCCCTGGGGACATTGGTGTGTGGACCCTAGCACTGGGCCTCCCAGCCCATAGCAAGGCACAGGCTCAACAGCGCCACAACCAGAGCAAGGTACCTGACAGCCTTGGGGAGGAAAGAGTCTGACCACTGCTGACACTTGCCTGTTTGGAACGCTGTCCAGCCCTGGACAGCGTCTTTTCCGGCCCTCCCAATAACTCCAGGCACAGCTTCACTTCCTGCAGCCACCTGGCCTCCACCCTCCCCAAGGGTATCCCGGCCCAGCATGGTTCCTTCAGCTGGGTGGGGCTCACCTGTCACCCCAGAGTTGGCTCATGGCCACTGCTGCCCTCTCACCCTAAGGGAACCCAGATCCCACAGCCCACCAGGCTGGGCTAGATGCTGTGGTCAGCCAAGTAACTGCCCTCAGGGGTCCACGTCCTGCTCTCGGAACCCCAGACTATGTCTCTTATGTGATAAAGCTGGGATGAGGTTCAGGACCTTTCAGGGGATAATCCTGGATTATTGGGGGACAGCGTGATCACCAGAGCTCAGTCCCTAGCTGCTGGCTTGAAGATGGAGTGGCCTCCAGGGCCTCTGGAAGATCATCCCTGCTGACTCCTTGACATTAGACCTATCACTCATTTTTCAGATTTTTGACTTGCAGAATTGTAAGACAACATGCACTGTGATTGTGCATGCGTGTGCGCGTGCACGTGTGCACACAGGCACGCTATGTTGGGGATTGAACCCAGGGCCTGGAACACACTAATTAAGGGCCCCAGCTCTACCCTGAGCTATACCCCAGCCATGCGTGTTGTTTTGAGCCACCTAGTTTGTATCCAGAGATGCAGGACCCTGATGCTAGTGAGCTGCCTGCTTCCTGTGGAGGGGACCCTCCTCCCAGTACCCCCCAGAGGATAGGGGGACCCTGTCGGGTGGGACCCCCACTGGAAAAGGGTTGACCCTTTGGGGTCACAGAAGAGAGTAGATCCGTGCCTCAAAGGTCCACACAGGAGACCCAGGGGGCATTAGCTGCTGGGTACAGAGCCCATGGCCCACACAGTATGATGGGTGCCTTTCCTCTCCATGTTGGGGTTGGGGTGCACGCTGGATGGGAGCCCATGCCAGTGGGTGAAGGGCTCACTCAGACAACATCCAGAAACACCCGAGCACTGAAGACCCAAGTATGTGGCCACGTTAGGCCCAGTTACGGGCCTCCCCATCAGGGCCCCATGATGCCAAGGAATCCACTGAACCTTGGCCTCTCCACCTGACCCCAAGCCCCATGCTGATCATGGCCAGGGTTGGACAGGCAGAGGCTTGTTTCATGGCTGCCTAACCCCAAGACTAGTTGGCCTCAGGTCAGCAGTGCGGCAGTCTTTCCAGGCCACCCCTCTACCTCCACCTCTGCAGGGCTGGGATCAGCGTACCCCAAGGGAGGGCTCATCCTAAGACTGCAGAACTCACCACACAGGGAACCCCTAGAAGAGCATCCAGGCCCTGGGTTCTGGGTGATCTCAGGCTGAAGCTGATGAAGGCTGACCACAGTCTTCAGGGTCTGCTTCTCACCACAATCCCCTAGGATAATACATGTGCTCCCTCTGTGCAAGCCAGGATACATGGTGTGCAAATCAGGCCACAGATGGAGGACACAGGCCCAGCACCCTGCACCTGCTCACTGGACTCATAAACTGTCTACCTTGGCCAGAAGGGAGTTGGCCTGGAGCAAGGGGTGTGGGTGTGTATCCCAGCAGCCTGCCTGATGCTCTGGCTCAGGCACTGGTAGACATCTACACATGGCCCACTCCTTGGGGAAGTCACCTATTAAAATGGGGGGCACAGGTCCCCAGGTATGTTTTTGTTAAGAGCAGAGGAGTGGAGGCCGCTCCTGGAAGGCCACAGCTTCTGACCTTGCCCCTTCTGCACCCCCACCCATCCTAGGGGTCCCAAAGGGTTGGCAAGGCCCCCAGAGGTCCACCATGTACAGCTCCCACTTGTAAGATACACATGACTTAAATATGAAGTATCCCCCGGAGTCCTGTGCTGAGGGCTTGATTCCCAATGTTCAGAGGTGGGCCCTACAGAGGTGACCGATCACGAGCACGCTGACCTCATCAACGATTCATCCACTGATGAGTTCACAGCTGCCTGGTTGTTGGGAGAAAGGGCCCAGGTAAAAGCAGGTCACTGGGCCTTAAGAGGGCCTCTGCTGTCCCAGTCCTGGCCGCCATGCAGTGAGCAGCTCTCCTCTGCCATGTCTTCTGCCACGATGCCCCTGCCACATTACAGGTCAAAACCAACAGAACCAGCAACCACGGATTGAAACTTCTGAAACCATGAGCCAAAATGTATCTTTGCTCTTTTAGGTTGTATCATATAACCATAGGTCACAGCTATGAAAAGTTGGCTGACACAGCACCCTTTTCCCACACTTCAATTTTCCTTGTGTCTGGGGGCTTCCTCAGCTCCAGGAGTCAGCAAGTGTCTGGGGGCCCTGCATGCTTCCAGGTTTTGTGACACATGAGAGCTCTGAAGAGCTCCAGGAAGCCATTGCCCTGTCCTGGACCCTGACTGAAGCCAGTGGAACCAGCCACTGCTTCAGAAGATTGGGGGTGGGGGCAAAGGGAATGTAGCTGCTCACAGCCTGAGACATCTCCTTAGTCTCTCTGCTTTGCAAACAGGCCTGAGGCCAGCCACATCCTGTGGCTCTCAGCTTTGCCTTGCTCAGGCTGGGTGGACCCCAGGACCCTCCTGTGGGAGCTGGCTTTTTGGAAACAGTGCTGCACAAGTCATGGAGTTGGGATGAGGTCACAAGGGAGCAGGATGGGCCCTGACATGACTGTGTCCCCAACAGCAGCACTTGGGCTCTCAAAGAGACACATGGAGGGTGCCTGGCTGAGGCAGGTGCAGAGCAAGGGGGATGCAGTGACAGCTGCAGGAACACCAGGGATTGCTGCCAGCCACCGGAAGTTTGAGAGGCAGGAAGAGTTCTCCCCAAGGTGCCTCAGAGGGACCCAGCCCTGCCTACGCCTGGATGTTTGGCTTCAGGCTTTCAGAGCTGTGAGAGAGAAATTTGGGTTGTTAAAAGCCACCCAGCTGGCAGTAGTTATCACAGTGTGATCCAAGGCCCCGCACTGTGCACACCTAAGTGTGATTTGGATGCACACACCTGAGCACACAGAGGTCTCATGGTGCCTATGCGTGCACATCTGGCTGTGACCCAAGGCCCCATGATGCCTGTGCACACGTGGTGTGACCCAAGCTGCCCTGTGTCTGTGCATAGCTAGGTGTGACCTAGGGCCTGCAGTGCACATGTGTGCACACTCTTGGGTTCAAGTGTGCAGAGCCTCCTGTCCCACCTATAGGAGTGTCTGATCCTGAGTCAGAGGCCCTGGACACTAGCGTCCAAGACAAGAGACCAGCAGAGCCTGTGCCCTTGGGGTGAGAGTAGGAAGCCTGGAACACCCTCAAATCTGGTATTTCTAGGTCATGGGTCTCCTAAAAGGTGAGGCATCTGTAGAGGTTTGTGAAGAACCAGTCGCCATGGCAAAGTTTGCCCTTTGCTCAGGGGCTGCAGAGGACAGAGCAGCACATGCAGCTCTAGGGGTGTACAGGAAACCCACAGTACCTTTGTTGCCACAACTGGCACCTCTGGACCATAAGCATAGCCCATAGCTACCCAGGCCCCAGTCCTCCTCAGCCCAATCCCCCCATTCCCACGGGGAATGCGTTTCCTGTCCCCAACTGACAGCCTCCACCTCCCCACCCCACACTTGAGCGGCAGGGGTGCCCCTCCCCCAACAGACTGGCTCACTGCTCTCTGTCCAGGTCACTTCTAGTTAGGACCCCTTTCCCACACCTGTGTGCACCTGAGGGTGACTTGAGCCCCCCGACCACACCCATAAGACCAGGCCCAGCTGTGGACTCAACACCTGAGTATCTGGTCCTGTCAACTCTGGCCCGGTCAAGGGCCTCTTCCACTTGCAGAGCGGTCTGCTTAGGCCACCACTGCCTGCTGCTGCCCCCAGCCAGCCTTTCCAGCCTCTAGTGCTGCCCTGGCCTCCACCCGCAGGACCTGGTCTCCACAAGCCTGGACCTGTCCACAAACCCTGCCCACAGCTTGGGGCCTCCACTACCCCGTGGCAGGGGCTCAACATCCTTTCCTGGTCCTCACCTGACCACTCCTCCAGCCCCTCAGACCCTGCTGTGACATAATACAGCGCAGACCCGGGCCATTTACTTCTGAGACCAGCAGGGAAGGACAGGCCCAACCCCCGGGCTCAAGGCTGAGAAACGGGAGGTAAAACAACAATAAAACGGAGGAAGGCTCTCAGGCAGCCCTAGCGACACCCCTACACCAGGATGGGGAGGCGGGGTCGCCGAACCCCGCCAGGCCGGGCAGGCGCGCGTAGGGCGGACGCGGCGCGGGGAGCGCGGGGAGCGCCGGTTGCCAGACACCTGCGGGCGCGTCGGCCGCCCGCGCCTCCCTCCTCACCTGCGAAGTTCTTCGTGAAGACCAAGGTGACCAGCAGGATAGGTACAAGCACGGTGCCGATGGTGACCACGCGGTCGAACGGCAGCTCCAGCTTGAGCTGCAGCAGCAGTGCGGCCAGCGCGCCTGCCTTGTCGTCCTGTGCGCCAGGCAGGATCAGCTCCCGCAGCTTCTCGCCCGCCAGGAGCGCGGTCGCCATGTCCGCCGACTGCTCCAGGAGGTGGTGC